TTGGACCACCTATCGCCGCCCGCTACACCGCCGCATTCTTCTTCCGTTTAACGGGTCGATGAGACGACGAGTGTAGGCAAGGCGTCACAATGGCGGATGGAGGCGACGAGACACAGCAGCGGTCGGAGACGAGCCTACGCGATGGTGGTCGGATGTGAGGCGACACGGCGGTGGTGGACGAAGGCAAGGCGATGCGGCATCCGACGGAGGAGATGACAGACGATGGCGACGCGGCTGACAGAGGCTATGCGACGCGGCAGCGGACGGTAGCGATTCGGTTGACGGAGGTGAAGCATGACGCGACGTGGAAAGAGGCGGCGCGATGCGACGGCAGCTGAAGCGGCGACACAGGCATTGGGGAAAGAATGATGCGGTGGCTGTAGTGGCGGGGTGGTGGTGGTTGATGTAGGAGATTTTTTTCCTGTTAAAATTTGTTGGATTTGGGGTGATTTTTTGAAATTTTGATATAGTTAAGGGACTCATATGTAATTTTTTTGACCTTTAATATATTTTCACTTTAATAATTGGGTCATTTTTTATAGTTTAGTGAAAAAAATGCACAATAATATTACATAAGATGCACAATATTGACCGATGAGACGCACATTACAAAAAATTACGTAATTTTTTTTTTTTGTTACGAAATTATAGAATCGCGTTTGTCTGCACATCTAAATTTTTGTAATTCTACAAATATGACACTGCGCTGGCTAACCGAACGATCGAAATAACCGAGTCAAACTTTTGAAAAAATAAATCAATCCGATCGAAATTTTTTGCCAATTCAAAAATAAGTTGGACTGAAAGTCGGCATTAAACCGACATAACTAAAATTTAAAAGTAAAATCAGAAAATCGATCTAACATATAACGATTTGAACTATTTAGATCGGTCGGTTTTGGACGCTATTGTGTAGTCTGTAAAACATTATTGTTCAAAATGTCTAACATTATTATGCACTTTTTTGGTCAATATCGTGCAGTCTGAACCGACTGAATTTTTTCTCCCAAAATAAATTGAAATTGAACTGAATTACTTAATTTATTTGGAGACGCCTCAGAGAATGTTGTGTTGTTTTGGACGCATTTTGTTCTCTGTCAGGATTGGTTTTGACCGTATTGTTTGTGCGGCTGACACTAGCTTCTTAGAAACCAATACGAAAACAGTCCTGGTGGCTTCAGTGTGCATATAGCGTGTCTATGCTGTAAGTCTGTAACGCTCCATGAAAGTCTTGCTACGAAACTCCCGATCCACAAATATTTCTTTCCATGACTTGTCGTTTGGCCCCAATTTGGTGCGTGTTCACCAGGTGGCCCCACCGATCATTTTGTATTTGTATTTTTCTCCCAGAAGTCACCATGGTATATACATGTCAGCATTTTCATGCCTGGTAAGTTTCTACTGTGCTTGTATTTATATTAGGGGTGAGCATGGGTCGGTCCGGTTCAAAGATTAACAAATCTCCAGAACCGTACCGAAGTTCGGAGATCACTAAAATTCGATCTCCAGAACCGTACCAAAAAATCAGTTCGGTCCGGTTCGGAGATTTTTATTTTTCGGTCCGGTTCGGTTCGATTTTCGAGACTATCAGAACGGTTCGGTTCGGATATTCGGAGATTTCTTATAATTTTTAAATTTTTTTTTGAATGACCAACTAGTTATATTTTATTTTTTATATGTTTTTTCTTAAAAAAGAATTCAACATTCATCAATACTTCATCATACTAAGGATTTTATTTTTAAATCAACTTTAGAAGTAACTCTAATATTTTAGTTAAGACTAAATTCAACTAACATTGAAAATTTCAAATTCAAACAAAAATACAAAATATAATATATTTTTATATTAAAGTAATATTTATTTAACATTCCATACCATGTTAGTTATAAGATAGACTAAAGCAAGTATCGACAACTTTAAATAAAGCTTAAATATTTTTTTTCTTTTAAATCTTTAACTTTTCATTCCATTTTATTTTTTTTTAAATAGGAGAAATTCAATTGTAGATAAAGTATTACTAAACATGAAATTTAAGTGAATCTTAATTGTTATTACTATATTTTATTTGCATTAAAAATTCTCAAATTATATAGGAATAAAGTTGACATAAAATATATTAATAACACGCATCTATTTTTATAATTCGATTCTTAATTTCGGTTCTTCGGTTAGGTATGGTACGGGACGGTTTTTTTTAGTTCGGTTCTCGGTACGGATATTTGTAAAATCTCCAGAACCGTACCAATTATTTTTTCGGTTCGATTCGATTTGGAGAAAGTCAAACGGTCAACGGATATTTTTCGGTTCGGAGGGATTTCGATTCGGTTTTCGGAACGGTTCGAAAATCTCCGAGTCTCATGCTCAACCCTAATTTGTAGGGCTGAGCACGGGTCGGTTCGGTTCGGAGATCTAGAAATCTCCGGAACCGAACCGAACTTCGAAGATTCCAAAAACTGGATCTCCGGAACCGAACCGGTTCTAACAAATCTCCGAACCGAACCGAACCAAATTTCGGTTCGGGTTCGGTTCGGAGATTCGGTTCGGTACGGATCGGAGATTTCGGAGATTTTTAAAAATATTTTTTTATTTTTTTTTACTTTTTTTATTTTTTTATTATTTTTTGTTAATAAAAATCTCCAAATTGCATGTTAGATGGTACATATCATGGATAAAAGAAAATCATAAACCTCTCTTAATTTCAATAGATATTTCGTCAATTAATAGTTAGAATAGGTGGTTAACTTTTTTTTATTATTTTATAAAAAAAGTGATAATTATCTTTTAGTTGCAGAATATCATAATTTAATTTGAAAGATTTATATGCTAAACGTTTATATGCCAAAATCCACAAGTGATAAGACATACATGAACAACAATGGTCAATTTAAAGATAGTTACTTGTTAAATAAAAGGATATTTTGGAAATATATTATGTCCAAAATTGACTTGTTAATATAAAACTTCTGGTTCAAGAGTTAGTCAATGGTTGATTCTGATCTATGCAAGTCCAGATTACCAAAAGAGGAAATTGCAGTGGCAAGAGTTGGAAGAGAGTCAACATTTATGGGGACCTAATTGGTGCATAGGGGGGGATTGGAATGAAATAGGTGGAGAGGATGAGAAGAGAGGTGGAAGAATAAGATCCCAAAGGAGATATGAGGACTTCAACAACTTCATTGCTAGGATGGGTATGTTAGAGGTTAGAATGGAGGGTTATCCTTTTACATGGTGCAACAATAGAAGAGATGAAGACTTTATAGAAGAAAAACTGGACAAGGTGTTTGGCTCCTTCTCATGGATGGCTGAAAATCAAAGAGCCAAGGTCCAAACCTACTTCAAAAGCTCTTCTGATCATTCTATGCTGTTACTGGATACATGTTCTAGTCCTTCTCAATTTTTCAAAAGATTTTGCTTTGATAGAAGGTGGTTAAGTATTCCTGGTTGTCAAGAGGAGGTGGAGAAAGTGTGGTCTGAATCAGTGGCAGGATCCCTAATGTATACCTTGAAAGAAAAGATTAAAAAAACCAGAATGGCCCTGACTAAGTGGAACAAAGAGTCCAAGTCTGCTAATGTGAAGAAGATTGCTGATCTTACTCTTAAGTTGGAGGACATGAGAGCACTGGGAGGACAGAGGAATTGGGAAGAATGGGAGAAGGTAAAAAGAGAGCTGGATGATTCACACTTATCAGAAGAGGAGTTTTGGAGACAAAAAGCAAGAGTCCAATGGCTAAAGGGAGGGGATAAGAACACCAAATTTTTTCATGCCATCACTATGCAAAGGAGGAAGAAGAATGCTATTTCTAGAGTGGTGGATAATTTTAACAGAGTTGCTGTGAGCCAGGAGCAAATTGAGACTTGTTTTATTAATTTTTACCAATCTCTCTTCACATCTGAGGGATCTAGAGGGGAAGAAGAAATCCTGCAACTAATATCTCCTGTTATTTCTGAGGAAGTGAACTCCAGACTGATAGCCCCTGTTGATGAGGAGGAGATAAAGGCTGCTCTCTTTGCTATGAATCCAAACAAGGCTCCTGGAGAAGATGTCTTCTTCAGCAGGAATGCCTCTGTTGGGCTCAAGCAGGAAATTTGTCAATGCCTTCAGGGGATTGAGGAGGGCACAGCTAGTATGGAAGGCCTCAACTCTGTCTTGGGATTTCTCTGAAGCTGCGTACACAGGATTTAAAGGTTGGTGGTGGCACATTGCTGAAATGAAGCTGACACCCGTAACTGAAGCGCGCATTCAACTTTCCACGTACATATTGTGGTGGTTGTGGAAATCCCGGAACCTGTGGGTCTTTCAGAAGGAATGGATGCCTGAGGAGACAGTGGCCAAGCTTGCTCACAGAGAATGGACTGAGGCTTCTTATCTTCCTTTTCTCTAGGTTCTATTTTTGTTGGTTTCGTGTTTTGTTTTTTGTTCCGGTTGTGTATCCATAGCTAGGTCCCTAATGGTTCAGTGGCTTGGATTTTGTTGCGTTTTTTAGTTGTGGTTTGTTGGATTTTCTAGGTTATGTTGAGGACGCAGGGTCGCTTAACTTCTGTTATGCCTGTTGTTCTTGTTTGTCGTTTCTACGAGGCCACCATGTGGAGTGGTTCTCTGGGTTGTGTTTTGGCTAGTTGGCCATGCGGTTGTAAACTCTCTATTTATTTGAGTAATATGAGTCTTATTATCGTTTGGAAAAAAAAAATATATATATATTTCCAAAATAGCATTTTATTTTGCCAAAATCCTTTCATTGTTGTACATATAAAGTTTGTTTTCAAAAAGTGAAGATATTTAATTTTATTAATAAAATAATCGATATATCCGTTCTTAATCTAATATTATGGTAAACATATATTTCAATTTATTTTTATTTTAGAATATATCACCTTTAAATAAATAATTTTTCTCCAAGTTTTGTGAAAGACTTACTTTATAAAGGTCGGTTTCCCAAACATTCAGAATTCAAATTATATTAAGTTGTATTTAATGATTTTCTTAATAAAATATTTGACATGTATCAAATTTTGTAATAGAAAGAATATATTAATTTATTTTTCTTTTTAAGTATGTACAATACTTATGAATTATAATAGATTTTATTTGAATACAATTATGACAAAGATGAAAAAAATATATATGATAATATATATATATATATATATATATGGATTTTATGAATTGGAATCGGTTCTTATTCGGTTCCTCGGTTCGGTACGGTTATTTTCGGTTCGGTCCGGTTCTCGGTACGGATATTTTATGAATCTCCAGAACCGGACCAAAAAAAATTTCGGTACGGTTCGGTTCGGAGATAGTCAAATAGTCAACGGATATTTTTTGGTTCGGGGTAAGTTCGGTTCGGTAATCTCCAAGACCCGTGCTCAGCCCTACTAATTTGTATGTACGAATTGCATTCGGTTTCGGGTAATTGCAAAAAATGCCCTCGAAATTGAGCTTAATTACAAAGAAGTACAGCCACTTCCAGAATCATACATGTCCAGAGTGCTACAACCAGGTACTGTTTGTGATTCTTTGTGGTATTTGTCTCAAAGCGTACACATTGTACATGTGGAGAGTGTTGTTTTTCTCAAATTTTGATTTCCTGGTAAGATTTGCACAATGAAATATAATTTCTTGTGCTAAATTTTCATTTGGGGAAATTAAGATGCTATGAAATGTGAAATGTGCCAATTGCATGTTGTGAATATATAATTTTTTTATTCATAGTATCTTTATTTAAAACTTCTTGCTACAGCCGATGAATGGAAACTCAAAATGTCGATTCAAATATGGATTACATAAGTATAATTTTATAAATTAAAGGAAATATGTGAACAAAACAATTGCTGATCCCACGAAGAGCTGTGGGGTAAATGCTAATAATCCAAGTGATTGTTTTGCAGCTGATATACATGCAGAAAAGAAAAAAATAGTTAGTGCTTGCTTATTATAAATTTTTCTAAAAGAATAATAAATAAAATAATGTCAATTCAAATCTAACCAATGTTCTAAAAGTTGTTAGGCGTTCGTTAGGCATCAGACTGGGGCCTAGCATTTAGGAGGAGACTAGGGAGCATCTAGCGGGGTCGAGAAAATATTAATAAATTTATTTATATTTGTTATCATGTCCAATTTATAAGATATATTATATAAAGTATATCAATTAATAGGGGTTGAATACAAAAATTATGCAAATTCTCATACATTCATCATAATTATTGTATCAATTGTGAAATAATTATTAATATTTTTATTATATAATTAATATAAATTTTGTGTTTAAATATTAAAATTGTTTTATTTGTTTAAAAAATAGATTAAAAAAATATAAATAAAAATATACAGGCATCTAGACGCCGCCTAACCTGCCTAGACGTGAGTACCTTCATAACAGCCTAGCCGAGCTAGACGGAGCCTAATAATTGGAGCGCCTAGAACGGCTGCCTAGGTAAAAGTCATGGCACCTAGGTGCTGCTTAAGAGGCCGATTTTTAGTACAATTATTCAACTTTAACCCAACCACACTATTATCAATTTTATCAATATAATTAAATAATATAAATCTATCATCCTTACACATTACATCAACTTCAATTCACTATTCATCTACTCACATAATTTTAACTACCAATCATTTCTGATCACATGTCTCATACTTTTAGATCAAATCAACTTTAATTATTTTATTTTAAATATTATTTCAATACAAATTTAAAATCTCACTCAAACTTAACTCAATCAACTTTTTAATATTAACTATAATTAATTAAAAAAACTAATTAAAATAAAAAAAAATCTATAAACAAACACGCCATTAGTGATCCACAAGAAACAAAACATTGGTTTCCTTTTTCTCATTTTATATTTTCTTTTGTATTTTATTTTACTAGTGAGAATTCCGTTCGGGAGTTTCGTACCTTAGAACATTTTTTCAAACTTTATTTTAACAATATATTAACTCGATGAGCCGTTTATATTAATAAAATAATATTTTAACATATATATTTATTTTTTAATATAAAAAAATAATAATTTTACATATTTTGGTTCATCATAATACTCAAATATTATTTTATTCAAAAATTTATTATTATATAATATCATTATTATTTATAACACTTACAGAAGAAATATTTTTTTCTTATATAATGATAATGATTTAATGTATATTAATATTATTTATTGATGTCATTACCTTGAAAATATATAAGCAAATTTAATGTTTGTTAGGAATGTAAGTTAAGATAAAATGGAATGTATCCAAAAAAATCTGCTTATAATATTTTTCTTTAAATGTTTGAATGAATTTGAAATTCAAATTATAAATCAACCTCCAGTTATAAATTCAAAGACTCTTTTGCTTTGGTAATTACCATTTAAAAGAATACCAGATTAAGTATATTATTGTATCTGGTTGTATCTCATTATTTTGGTAAATATCAAAGTTTTATGCGGTTAATTATTTTAATCCAACAATATCAAATTACACGTTGTATCTGGCTATATCTCATTATTATTGTAAACATAAAACTATTATGTGGTTAATTATCTGTGAATATCGTATGATTGATTTTATAGTTAATTTGCGTTTGAATTTGAAAATAGATCAAGAACTAAACATAAAATTAGATGTTTTCAATATTAATCATATGTTTTCATAATTTGAATTTCAAATTTAAAGCTAGCCTCCCATTTAAAAAAAAAAGATTCGAAAAAATATACAAATAATAGTAATAATGAATTTTTTGGTGAGGTTTTAGTTTCTTTTTTCAGTAAATCTCTATTCCTATTATATATTAGTAGAATATTATTTTTTTCAAAGAAAAAAAGTTTTCAAAGAAAAAAAGGATACGAAATTCAATTGATACGCACTACTTATCTGTGGGATATCAATTGATTTTGATTTACCTAAATTATTAGATTTTTTCTACTACAAATATATTCATACGTTTTTTATATATGTATCATGTTCAAATCTCGCGTTTTTCAAATTCAATTCTTTCCAAATTTTATGGGGTATCAATGATTTGTATTTTCGAAACCTAAATATTTAAAAATTTAAAGCGATACATAAAGATTTAGTTAGGGAAGAAAAAAATGATCAATTTAGTTACCTAAAAAAATGACTTGGCAATATCCTATCAGAATAAACAAATTTGTACTATTAATCGCGGGTGTGTTTTTATTTGTTACTTTTAATAGTAAGTCAACCACTTATTTTTTAAGTCAAAATTACTATTTATGTATTTTTCCAACAACCTCTTTATATTACTATAGATTCATTTGGTGGGTTGGAGAGAGAAGAATGTACCTTCTGAAGCTTCCGGTGGTGTTTCAACTGTTACTGGGATTCCAACAGCTGCAGGGTATAAAAACGAACTAATTACAAATAATTTGATATTTGACAACTTGAGAAATTGAAATTCGATATAACTATGTTATAATTTTTATTAGGCCAAGATCATTTATAATTAACCACCACCACCTTATCAAGGCTATACATTGCAAATACATTTTAAGTTTTTTGGATTATCTATCTCATATTTTACCAGCCTAAATCACTAGCAGTTTATAACGCCATTAATGAACCAATCTTCAAGTTAATGGATGGCTTATATCCCTATTCCCTACTTCGCATAGCTACTGAGAATTTGGCAGGCAGCTACAAAAAATTAGGTGCAATCCATTTTATTTATTGTTATAAAGTGGATTTTCACTAAGTGCAATCCATTTTATTTATTGTTATAAAGTGGATTTTCACTAGTCTAGTGACTCTAGTATGCTCAATATTTTGGTCCATGCAGATTATAGTTTGATTATTGCGTAATTAGTCGGACGAATAATAGAAGAAATGTTTTTCTGCAGAACTAAACTACCGAATTTTGGCACAAGATAGATATACTTTCCACGAATTTTGTTTATAAAAATTTTTGGTTTTGTTTGAATTTTTTTATTTGGTTTGGTTAATTTTGAAAAAGGTGGTATGGTTAGTTCAGTTGTTAGTGGGTATATTAAAATAATATTTAAAATTGATTTGATGTAAAAGTAGGAGAGAAAGATTTGAAGTAATTGTTAGTTAAAATAATGTGAGTGAATGAATAATGAATTAAGGTTAATGTGGTGTGTATGAATGATTGATTGATATTATTTAATTATATTGAGAATTTTGATGATAGTAGGGTTGAGTTAAAAAAAGTGGTTGAGTTAAAATATTGGAAATTTTTTGAAAAATTCAATAAACAAACATGCTTTAGCTTCGCTTTACTCATGCGTACTTAGTTATATCGATTTACTTTTTTTATAAATACATATTTTGAATGATTATTTGACACAAAAGCCAGATATCATAAAAAGAAAAAATCATACCTTGACACGCGGTAGGCGAAGGAGCATCGATTTTGCAAGTAGAAGGCAACATGAGGGCTCTAGTTACATTCACGTCCGAGAGCCCGAATTCAGTGGAGTTAGCAAGAAGCTTACACAAACAAATAGGATTGGTGTTGATCAAGTGCGACATCTCAGGGCAACAAGGAGATTCCGGTTGAGTCAAGTTGCTCCCTTCCTCCACGTAGGTAAGACAGTCGGCCAAGTCAGCTAAAGGTTCCAAGCAATTGGGTCCCGGAGGAGGTGCCGCCTGCAGTGATGCCGCTTGAATTATGGCGGCAGCCGGTGGTTGGGATCGGGCAGGTGTAAGTGCTGCCAGGAAGATGGTGGTGGCAATGAATTGGTAGATGGTGTTGATTTTATCCTTGGCCATGGTGTAGGTGGTGTTTGTTATTCTATTGTGGTTGTGTTAGTTGTTGTGTTGATAGGTGTGTATTTGTATTCTTTGTACTCTAGAAGAGAGGGTGTGCATTAAATTGTGTTGTAGGGTGGCTATTAGATCATTATTCTCCAACTCTGTGGGTGTGGTTATGTTGCAAAGAACTTTAGGTTAGTAGTTTGGTGGAGTTACTAGTTGTGGCAAATTAATATTTCTACCGAGTACGGAATGGATCTCAACTTCGGATCGATCTTTTGAGAAAGACGGTTCGAAACGTAGAATTGGTGTCGAAAACACAAAAATAAAAATAAAAATAATAATGTCCTACTTCTAATCACTTGGGTTTAGATAAATTATCTTATGAAATTAGAAAACACAATTAAAGAACTGAAAAATAAAGGAAGAAATAAAAGGTCTAAGGCGTTAGCAAATAATCTCTTCAAATTATAAAATCTATCTACATCGAACGTATTATTGTGTGGGCTAAAAACTGAGGCTCTCGTTTAAACGCCTAGCAATTCGCTCCCATTAATTTTCCTAATAAGGAATTGAACAAAATGGAGCAAGTAATAGCATACACACAAGCCTAGAGATTCATCCCCAATACCTCTATGAACACGGTTCGGACATAGACAAACACGTATTTCAGTCAATAGACACATAGAAAATACAATTACGAACATGTCCAGCCCGTTTGAATTAGTGTCGGATACCCTATCCTCTTTCAGTTTCTAGGTTATCAATCTAGACTAGATGGTGATCAAACAATTAATCATGCATCATACTCAAATAGTTCGAACAGGTATGAACACCACACATTCAACACAGTTTCAAGACGAGAATTGAAATCCTTAGCCATAGTTTGATGAATTACCTCATGCTTGGATTCATATTCAAGGTTAATAGAATGAATGAAATCCTCATCAATCAACAATAATAATCGAAAAATAAAAACTTACAACATATAGAAGATTTTGCAATAAGATAGTCCCACTACAATTGTAACGCCCCACTTTGATTTAACGAAAATCCATGGCTTTTCAAAAAAATCAATTTAATTTTTAAAACTCCATTTAAAACTTTTGTGGCGTTACTCATTTATTTCAAAATCAAAATCAAAAATTATTCCAAGTTTCATAAATCTCCCAAGTTCATAAATCATAAATAAATTTAAATAGAGGAAGCATCACAATCAATGGTCTAGTCATCTAGACCGACCACCACTCGCCTCGCTTTGTCGTGCCCGCAACCTGCTTAACCTGCGTCTGTGTAGAAAAAGTGGGGACGAACACATTTAGAATCCGTGGTGCTCACCACTATGCACATAAATATCAAGTAATATAAATCAGGTATGGTCGCAGCATGTATACGAATCAATAAACTATCCCATCTCCTATCCCAAGTTCGTTCTCATGTGCACACCTACGCATAGACTACTGCTGGTCCACGTATTGTATGTCTGGTTAGGCCTTACATATTGTATGCCTGCTTAGGCCTTACGTATCATATGTCTGCTTAGGCCTTATAACGTTGTCCTAACAGTAGGAGTCTCCCCCGACGGCCGAGCTCCGCCCTGGTCTTACGACGGGGTACTTATCGCCGGCCGAGCACAACCCTGGTCTTACAGGCGATGCGTCCTTCGCTCAGGACGAATAGAGGAGATTACCCCAATGGGGTCCGTTCTATAGCTACAGGGATAAATGTTCAACGGCCGGTACAACTCACATCGAAGGTTACATGGTTCACATGCATACAGTGATCATGCCATACAACAGTAATAATCAAATTTACGGCATAGCATTTTTAAATAAAACTCACCTGGTATTTCGGGATAGCAAAACACAACAAGTAGTGAAACGTAGGTCGAGGCTCGATTCCTCAAACACCTACATTCAAGCGATATAATAATCAATAATTTATCTCACTACTGGGAATTAACATATAACTCACACTTAATCAAAAATACTGATTAAGAGATTTTTATCGGATTTTTCGTTAACTTGGAACTCTCACATTTTTTTAAAAATAGGACTCGGAAGACTATATTAGAGTCTCGGGACTTACAATAATTTTCCTAAATTTTTCTCATTTTTGAAAATATTTTTAAAATTGAAATCAGTATTAAAAATGGGCGGCTTCCGGTACTCAAAAAGGGCCTAAAAACCGGATTGGGCCGAATTGGCCACTGCTCAAGCTGGTCTGCTGCTGAACTGGGCCTCGCTCAAATAATTTTGGGCCGAAACAAAGGCCTGAACCAACAGTGAAGGGGCCGAAGGTATGCGGGCTGGGGATGCGGGTTCATGGGCTGGAGATGGGCCGCTCGCCGGCCAGGATTGAGGGGAGTGTACGGGCCGCGTTCGGGCTGAGCCGGGCCAGACAGCCCGCGCGCCCTTTGCTGTTATACTGGGCTGGGAAAATAGAAAAAGAGGATGGCTTCCTCAAAGGCTGGGCTGGAAGCCAGGACCTCCCTCACGGAATTGAGGACAGAACGCCACTGCACCACGCGCTTGGTTGTGGATATAAAAGAAATCATGGCTACTAAAATTAAAACAAAAGCCCATGAATTAACCAATAAAATTGTCTGGAACGACTGAACAGAAGCTGGAACAGGGGATGCGAAACACGCGAACAAAGCTGGATCATTTCAACCAAAATTGATGACGACATATCCAACAACAACCAGTTTTTGAAAAGCCGTCTTCGGGAATTTACGAGTTCAGTTGGAAATCGGACGAGATGAACAGGTCGAACGAACAAAACTCGGAACTCCTCGAAGGTGCTGCTCGCGAACTCAACGACGGACGGCGACTGAGACTCGGCGAGGAACGGCGGTGTTCGCAAAATATTTTCACTATCCGCAAGTGTACGGTATAGCTGTAGTGAGTGGCGAGCAAGGTCATATTCCACAGAGATTGTTGTCAAGATAACTAAGTATCAAAATGTAAACGGTTAAATATTATTCAGTCTAATGCAAATTTAAATGGTGACTTTCTTCTAAACTAATGAATGATTGCAAAATAAATTCTAACACTAATGAAGGCTTGTTCTAAGATAATTCAAGAATGAGAAAACAGATTCTAGGCTATGCTTTCCTCGGGATTATTCTAACAAAGATTTCCTATTCATTCAAACCTTATTTAATTCTACCATTCGTAGGGATAATCACTAAAGTAATTTACACATTTCTCTCGAACAAGTTAAATCGTAGATATTAATTGTTATCTATCTCCTCTCGGTCTCAAGATGAACAATCAACTCCCATAAGCTCCTAAGATTCTAGTTCCCTCGCAAGATTCTATCAACCTCTCGGTCTGTTTAGTCTCTTACGTTATGAATTTCCCAATTCTAGCAATCAACTATCTCCTCTCGGTCTCAATTCAATCACAAATATGCATAAATACGGGCCCTTATATTCACACAATTAATAAAAGCACAAGAAATTGATAAACGAATGATAAACCGGAATGAACAAACAAAATCACTTCATAAAATAATCCGAGTACTCGCAAATCCTAGAATCCCTAAAAGGTTTAGCTGCTAAACATATTCTGAAAATTCAAAATAAATAAATCCATGAGTTCAATGAAGAAGAAAAAGAGAAAAGAAAGAAGAACTATTGTCGCCGTTAGTTCCCAAATCTTCAAACTTGACTTCCTCGAATCCCTCGTGTGTTTCGTGCTTTCTCTAGGCCTCCAATGGTGTCAAAAGTCCCAAAAACGAGTTCCTAAGGTCTGTTTTATACTGTAGGGCTATTCTGGGTCGAAAAAGAGAAGAAATCGCACAAGAATCCTATTCCCCGCTGAACTAGTCTGCGCGTCACACGAGTCGTGTCACATGCCACACGAATTGTGTGACTTTTCTCAACGTTTCGGCAAACTTCCAGACTCACACGACTGGTCACACGACCGGGTCACACGAGTCGTGTGAGGCCACACGACCCGTGTGAAAAAGCCGTAGCTGCGTTTCTTATTTTCTCAACCCACACGAGTCGTGTGACCTCTTCTGCACCCGTTTTCGCCGTTTTTTGTCCCGATTCCATTTTCAACGCTTTTCCGGGCATATTTCCTGCAAAAACAACGACAAAAACACCTCTATCATAGTTTAATAAATAAAACGAAATGGTGCACAATCACACGATAACCAGGGCCAAATATCACAATATATCACTCATAATGCATGAAAATATGATGAATATCAGTCGGCGAACAAGGATGACGGAGGTGTTCGCCAAAATTAATGGCAGATTGAGGTTGTTGCAAGTTCTCACTTCTACAGAGGGCTCAACCTCGGCTATGGAACAGGCGACTGAGAAGGAGGGATGTCGGTGACAGGAAACTCGACGAACGGGAAGGATGAACTCGCCGAAAAACGAAGGTGCGATTGAAGAAATTCTTTTTTTTCTTAAAACTGGGAGATGATATGGAAGAGGGAGATTTGAATGATTCTGAGGGAATAAATCTCTCGGCCTATTCTTATGTAACAGAGGCGAACGTATGAGATTATCCACGAGAGAATCGCACCGGTATTTTGAACGTGAAGACTTGGTCTCACAACGCGGAGAAGAAGGAAAGAAAAGGGCCGTTGCTTTATTTATAATGAGCCAAGGGATTTTGATCAATTTGGGAAAAAAATAATACTCATAATTGGGTTGGAATTCACATGGAAAGTTGGTTGGAAAATAATATTTACAAAATGATCAAAGAATTAATTCAACAAGGGCCGAAAATACTCCCGATAAATTGGGCTGATTATTAAACTTCCAAATGAATTGGGCCCGAAGAGTTACAACGCAATAACAAGAATTCCCGATCGATATTGACGACGAATAACAAATAAAATTACACGACTTATTATATCAATTAAACTACATCTAATTAAATAATAATAAGCCTAAACGAAAAAATATTGTGCGATAATATAATATAGACAATTAATTCAAATAATAATAATAATGCCAATAAATAATATTCGAAAAATCCACTATTCGAACGGGGCGCTACAGTCTACCCACCTTAAAAGGAATTCTGTCCTCGGAATTCGAAACAAAAAAATAACTAGAATACAAAGGGGAAAATCAAAATATGAAGTTCGGATATCTCCTCCTGATATCGGCCTCAGTTTCCCAAGTCGCCTCAGACTCATCATGTCGGCTCCAAAGCACCTTCACGAGGCTCACTACCCGGTTCCTCAGCTGATGGACCTTCCGATCCAGTACGGCTACCGATACCTTCTCATAGGTAAGGTCTTGCTCGACCCGCAACTCGCCGAAGTCCACCACATGGTCGGGGTCATACACGTATCTACGCAGCATCGAGACGTGAAACACATCGTGCACACCCGACAAGTCCGGTGGCAAAGCTAGCCGATAAGCCAAGTCTCCGCCTCGAGCAAGGATTTCAAAGGGCCCGATATAGCGAGGCCGAAGCTTTCCATTCTTTCCAAAGTGAACCACACCCTTCATGGGTGCGACCTTCAGAAAGACATGATCACCAACCTCATACACATGTTCCTGCCTCATCCTGTCGGTGTAGACTTTCTGCCTCTCCTGGGCAGACCTGATCCTCTTCCGGATCTCATCAACCTGTTCCAAAGTCCAACGAATGAACTTCAGACCCATGATCTTCCTCTCGGTTTCTGGTGCTCAGCCTTCACTTGCCGACACACTAGACATTGGTTCACGAACCTCGCCACCTTGTTGACACGAGTAACATCTCAAATCAGCAGTCTTTGCTGAGACACTTATACAAACCAGCTCATCTTGACTCTTCCGACTATAGATGTCGGCCGCCTCATTAGTTCTTCTCGCACGGTAACTAATTGAGCGGTTAGTCCTAAATGAGCATCGAATCACTTTCGGTAGTGGCTGGTTGGTCCCAAGAAATTACGAGTCTCACTCGCGTTCCTTGGATTCGTCCAGTTATCTATCGTCGCTTACCTTACTACAAAGCTCCTCATTTCCCATAGTAGCAACAATGCAATTAAGCACCACACCTCCTAAAAATAAAACCTCCGAGTTTGTTGACTTCATTAGTCCTCCAAGCGAGACTTAGGTCATTGTAATACACGTGAAAAATTCCTAGAATCAGTACGCGTTACACGCTAGTGACTTGGCAGCTGTGGCATGAATGGCTGGCCTGGCATGCGGCAACGCAGCACACTACGCACAACACTTCCTACGACTCGAGATGCATCATCGAGCGTGGCACGCCTCTGCGCTGCACCAGCATGCCGTACACCTGCACCACCCGCAGCTAGTAGCTACGGTTCATTCGACATCAACTGTTACATCTCCCCGTGTTGGTACGTAGAGGAAGATCGGAAATCCACCGGTGTGTTGCGACCCTAGTCCATACTCCAGTATCTAAGTACACCGACTTTGCCATCAGAGTACTTATACTTCAACTGAGTCAGTTGGCTTGCAGTGGTGATTACTCACGATGTTTCCCACAATTCCTTGGCTACCCTCCTTAAAAGACTTCTTCTATTCCAAAACATTTCCAAAACTGTATCAAAGCTCCTCCCGATCAGGTATGAGAGGACTTCCACGTACGATCCTAGGGTATATCGTTCAATTTGATCACAAAAGAATAATTGATTGCCGCCTATCTCGAGGCCCAGGTATTCTCAAGAGTTGCAACGTTATTCGCTCTCATTCTACGAGTACAGATATGGATCAACAGGAAGTTAAGATTTTCAACTCTATCTAAAATCTCATTCTATGCAAGGAAAGAAAAGACAAATGAAATTTCTAAATTACGAAAATTGAATAACCAAGAGGAGTCTCCAAAACACAATTCAAACTTGTCTTGCAAGCAAAAGAAAATAAACAAGGTTTGCTAAAAGCTAAGAGAAATGAAATTTTAACAAAAGAAGGAACAAATAATCATCTCCTGCCCGACATTCAGTCAACTGCTCAGTCATGGTTTGGCTCAGCTTCATTCTGGGCCATCATGTATACCCGTGCTCGACCTTCTTCGCCAATCCTCCGTTGGGCCTGTTGATGTTGCTATTGTGGCTATTGAATCTGCTGCTGCTGATAGGGTTGCTGCTGCTGGAATGGCTGCTGCCTCTAAGGTTCAGGGCACGTGTTAAGGAAATGTTCGGGGCGCTGACAGTTGTAGCAGACTTTCTGAGTGTGCCAGCACTCTCCTGCATGATGACAGCCACAGTTAGGGCACCTCGGATTCTGGCTATAAGCAGCAGGGCGCTCCTCACGTCGGTCATTCCCTCCACGTTTTCCATTTCGATTGTCCCGACGGGGGTCGACCTTTCTTTTGTTTGAGCTAGAGCCGGGCTGAACTGAGGAGATAGACTGCACTTGTCTGTGCCTGAGGGTGAGAGGGTTCAGAGGCAAAAAGAGATTGGCAGCTCTCCAGCTGCTGAGCATGGAGCACGGTTTCTCCATAGGGAAGGTTCCCATGGCTGGTAAGGTGCATGCAAAGATCGGGGCGAAGTCCATCACGGAACTGGGTGTTCTTTTTCACCTCTGTGTCCACCAAGTGTGGGGCGAAGACGCTCATGCGGGTGAATTCCCGCTCATACTCCTTGATTGTCCCGGGTTCCTTAGCGGAGATCCCAGAATTCACGCTTCATCTGCTTTTGGTAACTTCTGGGTAGTACTTCTCGAGCACCACCTCCTTCATTCTGTCCCAGGTGAGATTGACATGCTCACCCGGCCTAAGTCTCTAGTGGTCGGACCACCAGATAGCAGCATCCCCGTCCAACTAATACTCGCCACAAACAACTTTCTGCACATCGATGCAGAGCAGAAGATTGAAGATTCGCTCTAGCTTGAGAATCTATTCAAACACAGCCGTGGGACTCTCGACTCCTGTGAAGCCGGTGGGGTCAGCCGCTGAAATTTGATAACGGTTCACGGTGATCATCAACAGGAGGCTGTTGGGGTTGTTGATTACGAGGTTGACGTACCATAATTCTACATCGAATAGGCCGAAAAAAGTTTAGCATAAGACATAATAATAAAGTTCAACGTTGATCAAAGGTGGATTACTGTTTACTAGGCCCCAAATAATAACATCATAACATATCATATATTTCACATAAGCAATTTCAAATCACTTATGAATTCATACATGAGTTGGTACGACACGACGGAAGCGAGTGGTCATAACTACATCATAATATTCAATTATTTCACAGAGTTCACATAAATCACATAAAGCACTCTACAGAACGTAGACCTGCTCTGATACCACACTGTAACGCCCCACTTTGATTTAACGAAAATCCATGGCTTTTTAGAAAAATCAATTTAATTTTTAAAACTCCATTCAAAACTTTTGTGGTGTTACTCATTTATTTCAAAAACGGGCTTTCAATACTAAAAAAGGGCCTAAAAACTGGATTGGGCCGAACTGGCCACTGCTCAAGCTGGTCTGCTGTTGAACTGGGCCTCGCTCAAATAATCTGTGGGCCAAAACAAGGGTCTGGCCCAACACTGAAGGGGCTGAAGGTATACGGGCTGGGGATGCGGGTTCGAGGGCTGGAGATGGGCCGCTCGCGGGCCAGGACTGAGGGGAGTGTACGGGCTGCGTGCGGGCTAAGTCGGGCCAGAAGGCCGCATGCCTTTTGCTGTTTTACTGGGCTGGGAAATAAAAATAGAAAAGAAGGATGGCTACCTCAAAGGTTGGGCTCGAACCCTGGACATCCCTCACGGAATTGAGAACAGAACGCCACTGGACCACGCGCATGGTTGTGGATATAAAGGAAATCATGGCTACTAAAATTAAAACAAACTCCTGCGAATTAACTAATAAAATTGTCTGGAACGACTGAATAGAAGCTGGAACAGGGGATGCGAAACACGCGAACAGAGCTGGATAATTTCAACCAAACTTGACGATGACATATCCAACGGCAACCGGTTTTCGAGAAGCCGTATTCGGGAATTTATGAGTTCGGTTGGAAATCGGATGAGACGAACAGGTCGAACGAACAAAACTCGGAACTCCTCGAAGGTGCTGCTCGCAAACTCAACGACGGACGGCGACTGAGACTCGGCGATGAACGGCGGCGAACATGGATGCCGGAGGTGTTCGCCGGAATTATTGGCGGATTGAGGTTGTTGCAAGTTCTCACTTCTACAGAGGGCTCAACCTCGGCTATGGAACATACGACTGAGAATGAGGGATGTTGGTGACAGGAAACTCGACGAACGGCGAGGATGAACTCGTCGAAAATCGAAGGTGCGATTGAAGAAATTCTTTTTTTTTTTTATTTAACTGGGAGATAATATGCGAGAGGGAGATTTGGATAATTCTGAGGGAATATATCTCTCGGCCTATTCTTATGTAACAGAGGCGAACGTGCGAGATTATCCACGAGAGAATTGCACCGGTATTTTGAACGTGAAGACTTGGTCTCACAACGCGGAGAAGAAGGAAAGAAAAGGGCCACTGCTTTATTTATAATGGGCCAAGGGATTTTGATCAATTTGGGCCAAAAATAATACTAATAATTGGGTTGGAATTCACATGGAAAGTGAGCTGAAAAATAATATTTGCAAAATGATCAAAGAATTAATTCAACAAGGGCCGAAAGTACTCCCGATAAATTGGGCCGATTATTAAACTTTCAAATGAATTGGGCCCGAAGAATTACAACGCAATAACAAGAATTCCCGATCGATTCGATTAACGACGAATAACAAATAAAATTACACGACTTATTATATCAATTAGACTACATCTAATTAAATAATAATAATAAGCCTAAACGGAAAGATGTCGTGCGATAATACAATATAGACAATTAATTAAAATAATAATAATGTCAATAAATAATATTCGAAAAATCCAATATTCGAATGGGGCGGTACAACAATGTACCCCAAGAATGCGCTCGTAAAATAAAGGAAAATTTGAGGAATTTCTAAGAGGGTCTTTTAATAAGAAGTTTTTTGTATTCGGGAGCCTTAGAATTGGTCCCCCGATTGGTGTGTTTAAAGATGATCCTGTGATTTGATATGAGTTGGTATTTTAAACGTCTTTGAAATGAGGTAAAAAAACTCATCCAGGTGCGTTCGAGTAGTAAAACCTTCGTTGATGCGACATCTCGGGCGCCTGGCTGATCAGCGGTAGGCTGGGTTCATCGCGAACGCGACGCCTGTCTCATGGTAACTTTTCCGTTGCTCGATACTTGCTCGGGTGTCGCTTGGTTGTTGTTCGAGCAAGGCTTGGGCGATACCAGGCTTTGTTGTAAATTATACTTTTCTACAAAAATAAAATTAAAAACGCAGAGGAAAAATATACAAAATATGAAAATAATCTAAAAACACGAAAACGAGTAAAAACAACTTAATGAATCGAAAAATCTATGAGATGAGCTCATATAAACTCAAACAAATACTATAAAAATACTCAAGATAATAACAAAACATACAAAACAACACGCTTAGCATTTTGCTTGTCTCAAGCAAATACCATTGCCCAACGTTTAAGAAGAAAGACAAATAAAACTTATTTTTTAAGTGATCTCGTGTGTAAATCTCCTATCCACCCTGTAATTCTTAGGACATCCACAACCCTATAATTCATTCAATAAAAATTTAACACTTTCTCTCATCCACATCATCTTTCCACTAAACTTCTCTCCATTTAAGTACACACCCACATTCTTATCCATTCATTTAAATATATATATGTAACTCATTATCTACTCATTCAATATAAATTTTAATATTCTATTCTCAATAAAAATAAAAACTTAATATTTTTGAATTATAATAATAATTTTTAAATGCATGAAAATAAAGAACACTACAAGATCAGAATAACTTAAATTAAGATTACACAAGAAAAAATAGCAGAATTAAAAAGATTAAAATTAGTAGAATAAGTAGATTAAAACTAGTAGAATTAAAAAGATTAAAAATAGTAGAGCTAAGATAACGAAAGAAAAAAAATGATTAAAATTAAATAAAAACAAAAAAGAAAATAATAAAGGCACCCAAGGTGCCGTTCAACGTAATGAACGGACAAAAGGGGCCAACCCCTTAATGGATGCCCACATTGGCTTGAACGGCCAACTATTAAACGGGGCAAATGAGTGGCCCCTTGTGGATGCTCTGATAGCCGAAAGCCTACATGAAAGTATGTTTTCTACTACAAGAGGTCATTTAAAATGAGACAAAGTCCCAAGCTATTCTATACATAGCCTACTCGCCACAAGCAATTTTTACAAGTCTACCCAAAAGAGTAGGAAACATATCCCCTGGTCCTCAATAAACAAGAGATACAATCCCCTTCTTTTATTCTTTTTCTTTTAAAATGAGATTTTTTCTACAAAATTCTTTCAGATATTACTATATAAATTTATCCATTGGGGGGACTTGTTTGAGTTTTTTAGACCGATTTTCCGTGCTCATTACCACATTTATATTTGGGTACTTGGAGCATAGTCCTTCCAACCACACAAAGCTCATATTATTGTTGTTGTTGTTAAAACACTTTTTTCTGAGAGGAAGTCTTTTAGACATCTTATCTAGGTTTATCCTTCGGGTTTAGGCACGTCTCCTATAGCGGTTTCCCTTACTCATTACTCGAGACCACTAAAAGTAGTGATTAGAGTACTTGGAGTTTAATCCTTTCAGAATCCTCGAGCTTTTAGATTTTTTATTTAAGGGGGAAACACAAGATACACAAATCAAACTTGATGTAGATATCAATAATACAAAATCTAAAACGCAACTCACGTAGAGCATTGGCCAACCGGATTATCAAAATGGACAAAACAAAACTACTGACTTGAGCCATGTGTCTGACAGAACAAGTCATCAAGGGTGTGCTTGGATATAATTTTATGATTGGATATTTTGGTTTTGATTTTTTTTTTTTGTTAAAAAAATTAGTTATAAAACTTGGATTTGACTCGATTTTGACTGAATTTTTTATAGCTATATATTTAATTGGGGGTGAATTAATTTATGTAGAAAAATTCTACGTTCTGAGTAGATACTTGTGGATTATTTATCTTCTCACAATTAATTTTCGGTGAATGAGAAATAAATGATTAATGTTAACCATAAACAGACACGTAAAATGATTGTCGTAGGATTCAATAGGTCAACAGTCATTCTCAAATTCGACTCTTAAATAAAATTTTCTGGTCAAAAGTCATTATTGACTCTTAAATGAGATTATCTCTTTTTATAGAGTAAGAGCATGTTTGTTTGCTAGTCCAGATTAGATAATTTTAATCTTAACACATAAGATTTGGTGTAGAGATAAAAACCATCTCGTGTTTGTTATCATTGACCAATGCAAGTTTAGATTATAGTTTTAAAATGTGTTTTTTGTTTGTTATCCTAGATCCAAATTCTGATAACAAGCACAATTACATTTTTTGCCCCTACATTGATTTGCATGGATTTTTTTATGTTCTTTTTCTTATAATATTTTTTAATATAATTTATTTGCATGACCGTGTTTAGTGCATTATATATGTTCGTATGTTTTTTTTCCCTGCATGGCCGCCTTCTGTGTTAANGTCTCATATCACATATTTACATGCGGTGAAGTTAATAAACATGCCATTTTGTTTTTTCCCAGTTCGAATTTAGGAAAAGGTTTTTGCAATATCTTCTTCAAACCATTAATCATGCAAAAGTAGTACAAAATCATAAGCTTTCTTACCCCATGACCATGTTTCCTTCCCTTTTCCTTATCTGTCAATCAATCATACATTACCTGTAGGGGTGTTCATACATGCAGACAAAGTTGCACAATGGTTAGGTTGTTTTGTGCAGCTTTTTAAGACTTGCAACACATGCAAGATTCTTTTAACCATCACTCCCTTATTAATTATACAAGTGGCGTGTCAAAAAGACCTTTTTCTTCATATTTTTTTTCCTTTAGAGGGAATCTATTGTTTTTAGTTTCACCTTCAGACAAATTTTCTCTATAAAACCATAACACATCCTCATGAGCCGATGCCTCGCCTTCACTTGTTCTTAATTTTTTCTTTCTCGGTTCACATCACTTTTCTTGTTTTTCTCTTTCGCCGTTCAATCCAAACACAATTCCTCGTCTTTCCATCCCTATAACGCAAGATGAATGCTTGTACGACGGTCGTTGTACAAAAAAGGCTGACAATCTTTTCGTTGATTTGCTAATAGAGTCGCATGTTCTTGGGAAGTGGAATAATGGTCATCCCGGGCGTGCAGTCTTCGATTATTGCCACTCTGTTTTCATTGGCGAGCTCGAGCTTCTTTATACTCACGAGGAATTTGATGAGAGATTCGACTTTCTTCAAAAGTGGTACCAAGTTTTTAGCTGGATGCTCGGAATGCCCGGTTTGCGTCACTGCGTTCAATCGAATATCCTGATCGCTCCGGTTGCCATTTGGGACGATGTCTTCGAGGTACCGGTTCAATTTATATTTTTTGTGTGGCGGTCACTTAGCTTTTTGCATTGACACATAATGCTTTGATATTTAATTTTTTTTTTCTAAATATTACAAAATCCAAATTTTATACGACTGGAAGATTTTTTGAGTTATTTTAGTCCTACGCTTTTAGCGTTGCTTATCAACATTCCGGTGACCCACGGTGGGCGGACTTGCGTTTCATGTTCGAGGAGGTGTTTTCTACAAATCCAAGATCTGAAGTTGTTCATGACCGCAACTCTACAAACGAAGGTCTTTTTGCTCTCCCCGCTGCACGAACAAATGTGGTTTCGGACAATTCCTATCACAATGCGTTGCAAACGCTTTGTAGTCGCAACAACGCTCCTACCCGACACGGGGGCCGCACGATGCCTCTTTTGAAAGATCTGTCAACACGCATGCCCATGTCTTAATAAATAGGGCGGGCAGTCGAACCCCATTGCGCATCCCACGTCCACCGCGCAAGCATAAGCCTGACCTGGCTTCATGCATGGGTTCGACTAGCGATCCTCACGTTTGAAGTGTCACGCATACTACTATTTAGAACCGATTATGCGCCTAATTTATGTATTCCATGTGCTTTAGTGTTTTGTGAGTATTGTGGTGTTTTTATATACCTTGTTTGTTGACGTTTCTACGAACTATGCCTACCTAACATTCAATGCAATATGTTTTATATCTTTCATATTGGAGAATGAATTTTTTTTTTTGTTGGTTTTAGTGCACATGATTTTTTTTCCAATTAAATCGGCCTTACAAATGGCAAGACCAATTTTTTTTAACAATACACATAACATGCCCAACATTTTGGATACTATGGGACCTCAAACTTGGGAATAGTATATTTTTAAAATGGTGGTTATTGAGAATAGTTACAATAAACATTTGCCCAAAGTAGAAAATATAAGATAAACATGTATACTTGATTTAACCGAAAAAGACATGAGGAAAATAGTCATACTTAGATACCTAAACAACATACTTTTTAGTTATACCAAATAGTCCATAAGCACAAACACAAAACATACAGAGTTTGGCATTATAGTACATACAAAATGATGCCACTTACCCATACAACATAAAGAACTTCTACCTTTAAGACAACAACAAAATACCAAAATGGGCTTCAAGTCTGCACGACCCACACACTAGTAATAAAGCCATCACATAAAGCAAAAATATAAAAGACCTTCACTTAAATCTACTCTGAGTCAACGCAAGAGCCGACGTCTGTGTCGAGATCCATTTCATCCGGTGCCTCGTCCGATTCAATGTCAACCACCTCGACTGGGGCGGGTTCAGCCACATACTCCTCCTCGTAATGTTCCTCCACTTCCACGTCATCTTCAACTTCATGCACATTATTGGCGTTGCCATTCACGTGCTCTACCACGGCGCCCCCGACACCCTAATCATTCCCGAATTCCAAGTCAGCAACATCAGCACCGTCTGCCCCATTGGGGTCATCCGCAACAACAATTTCCTCATCCGTGTCGTCAAACATGATGGGCTCATGGACTCTTTCACCGGGCTTCATTATCACATCAGCCGCATCTCTAAGATCCCACAGCTCCACACACTCTCCGTACCATGGGAACCCAACATGACGGAAAAAATACTCCAAATCCGTTTCCTGTAGAGTGAAAGTTGTCAAGTGAAGTAAAAATAGAATATAAATTAGTAGGGAACCTATGTTTGCCTACACAATGTATGCATGCATGAACCAAAGAATTTTATAGAAGCTAGGAAGATATACAATAATAAAGCACATGACTATGTAAAACAAACCCGGCCGACGAATGTCCAGTACGAAGGAGTGACTGTGATAAGACCCGTTTCCACATGCACGTCCACACCGGGAGTCTCTAGAAACGTGAGGAACTCCCTGAAGTAGGTGTGTAGAGCCTTATCTTCTCCTTGACCTTGAGCACGGAGAAATAATGTAGCATCTCTTCGGTCAACTGTATGGAGAGGTGGTGCCATATAGAGTTGAAGACGACAGGCACATTCATGTCGGGAGTTTCTTGGCAAATGTAGCACTCCCTTTCCTCATTCGACGACCAACCGGGGCGACGATACCTCTCCGCAATACGTAGCATGCTTTCATGACGATCCATTGGGGTTAAGCTTACAATAAAGGAACCTGTAAAATAGAAGCAAATGAATTTAAATTTTTGGATGCAGTGATGAGAAAATTCTTGCACTCGCATGTTCTGTTTCTTTTACCTGCTAGTGAATTTTTTTCCCACAAAATGGAGTTGACCTCCCTAGCCAATTAACTCTTGCAAATAAATAGGGAGAAGTGACGGTGTGGTATACTTAATTTTGTTTGGTAGGTGTAATTGAATAAGGCACTTAAATGTTGCTGATGGTGTATTACACTCAGACACCTCTTTTTTAATAAGGGCCATTGATTAAGGGATTGGAAGTTAGGTGGACGATAGTTGCAGGTTTATTAATTTGGTTGCCACTAATTTAGTTTTGTACATGATGTTGTGTGGATTCTATGAAAAATAGGAAGTACAAATGTAGTTTTATTCTCATTTCTTATGTGGGGACAAATGGTGTGTGATGAAAAAGTGGCCGAATAGAAGAATGTGCGGTTATCTGACGCATGAATATTTGTACACAATATTTATAGCATTGAACAATTGAAATTTTGGGCGTTTTGCTCTTTGCAGTATGTTTCAAGAGATTATAAATATTGAGGGCCCAAATATTTAATAAAACTAAATAATTTTCTGACCTTTGTATAACTTTTTTTTTATCGGTCGGACGGTTAATATTGGGGGTATTATCGGTCGGACAAAAAATATATATATAAATGTATATGAATATACATAAAAATATCGGCGGTATTACCGGTCGGACACGTAATACCGATGGTATTACCAGACTAGCAAACATAATGACATATATAAATATATATAAATATACATAAAAATATATAATACAAACAAATGTAAAAAATAAACAAAAAAAATTACCGTAATCATTAATTTGAAGTTCTGAATGCAATAAAAATATAACATTGTAACTCCATATTTAAATTTTGTTGTTTTTCTCTAAATAACTTTTATATTTTTTTCAATTTTTTAAATTAATTTTTTTTTTTTATTATTCGCCGGTATTTTTTGACCGGTATTTATGGTTTGAAATCATTAATCGGAAGTACCACTAACCGGGAAAAAAAACAAGAACCAGGTTATAAAAAGTTGGTTTTTTCGTAAGAAGTGTAATATAAACCAAATTCGACGTCTGACAATTACACACTCATGAATTGAACATGAATTCCACCCAAAATAAAATTTTCACAACCAGTCAAGCGGAAGGCACAAGTCCATACAAATAAATATGCCAAAAGATTGGGAGCATGAGTGGCAAAAATTATATTACAAATCCTAGTATGGTCTTAATATAACAGAAGTCCAAAAGTAGGCCAAATTTCTGGCCGTCCAAAATCAAAAGGCATAGTACGGGCAACACTAACAAAAGACAATAAAAGGTCACCCAAGTTTTAGAGCATTCATCATTCCATATTACAATTTATTTTCGAGGATCATCTTCACCATAGAAGCTTTGTCCTCTTCGCTGATGCTAAAAAAAAACGTCCATCTCTTCTTTGCTCCTACAAAAGTATTTTGTTACGATAAATTTTTGTTCGATACTCAACATGGGAATAGACTTCAACGCCTCGTACAACTGTTTCCGTTGCTCCTTCGCATCGTGTTGGACCCTAATACGTTCCACCATTTGACCCCAACGTTGATCGGCTTTTTCGCATAAAGTAGAATGTAGGCCCACCACTTCAACCTCCGCATCTTTAACACGTTTACGTTTGCCTACCCGTTTACCCTTCCCCGATGCACTACTCTCAACACCCTGTGGCGGAGATGACTCAATTTCATTCTCATTGGATTCCAAGTCAACACCAACCCCGCCACGCCTTACACTTTGCGCGGGGGCATCGTCACCATTATTACTTAGTACTTCTTGCACCGCATCTGCGAAACCTTCAACACCTTCACCTGTTGCGCGGTCCTTTCCAAAAATGTTGACCTAATCACTGTAAAAGGGCCAAGACTTGTTGCACAATCCCTTCTCTTTTGGTTACATCTACATGCATACAATGGTTGGTCGTGTACAGTTGGCAAAATAAGAAATAATTTACATAAGGGAACGGAGAATAAATATAGTGAAAATAGAGGAAATTTAGATGATGATTATTGGAAACCTTGACATAATCGTTCCAGACGGGCTCTTCCACTTCTAGTATGTGGTCGATTTCAGACCACCCAACACCGGAAGTTTTTTGAAGCAATGGTGCAAGTAAAACATAATTTTTTTTTTCCATACTGTAATCTTCGATGAGATGTGAGGCTCCGCTCTAATCGTAGTCCCCGAAAACTGTTGCTGCATGTATTGTTCTAAAAATATGTGTGCCCCGAACGGAACCCGTTGTCGGCTTTTATCCCACGAGCAATGAGCTCCTTTAATCCTTGGATTAATGCACGTTCTTCTTCAAACGTCTATATTCGTTGTTGATTGTTTACGTTTGGCCCACGTCCCACGCCAGTTGTCGAGTCCATTTCTAGTAAATTTAAATACTAAATCATAATTAATACAACATTTGTAACATACAAGAAGTAACGATAAATGGAAGAGAATGAACTTCAAAGATTAAAAAACACAATAAATTCCGGTGCTTCAAAGAAGAATGTATGTCCATATAAAAGTGTACGCAACTACATTTCATAATGCATCAAAGTTCTCCACATAGACAACATAAACCTTCGAATGAAACAAAAAAATAAAAATAAAAAATAAAACTAAAGGATCGAACATAAATTCAATTGTTGGCACGCCACTCATTGAACATAAACATAGCTAGTGTTTCCCTCCAAGTAGTCCACTCGTTAGTAGGCTCATCCACATCGACATAGTCATTTGGTAGGTGTAGTGGTTCCTCCATATTTGACTCCATTTTTAAAACATCATCCTCACCATCCATTGGATCAAAATTCATTGTAGTACGAATGAAGTTTTGAAGAAGGCAACATGCCAAAATCATTCTATTTTGAGTGACTATGTCGAAAAAAGTTTTACTTCTAAGGATGGCCCATCTCATCTTCAACACTCCAAAGGTCCATTCAATTACGTTTCTTGCTCTAGCGTGTCTAAGGTTAAATAATTTCCTATGATTTCTAGGTGCTCGAGGGCCTTCACCGAACTCGTTCAAATGATACCGCACACCTCTAAATGGTGCAAAAAATCCCAGACCGTTTGTGTACCCACCATCGCAAAGATATTAATTACCTGTGAAGCCAACAAACCGAAATAACTATTCAATGGACTTTGGAATTGAAAATTGTAATTTAATGTCTACGAATCTTACTCAAAATTATATAAAGTTCATATCCACTTTACAAAAGTGTCTCACCCGTAGGAACACGTAACCCACCATCTCGCCGTACTGCATCCCTTAGAACTCTAGTGTCTGCGGCAAACCCCTCTCAACCAACCAAGATGTAAGAAAAGTTCATATCCACATCACATACGCCTTAGACGTTTACAGAAACACTACCCTTCCTATTTCGGTACTTCAGGTGCAAATTACTAGGAACGCGTACCGGAACATATGTTCCATCTAATGCTCCCAAGCATCCCTGGATGGCATAATTAAAAAAAAAATGGACAACAATCAAAAAACGTTACATGCGTTATCAATTTATTTCATTTGTTTATTATTTATTAAATACTAACCTTAAACCATTTCCATCTCCAATCATTGTTCGAATCCTAAACAGGGTTAGGTTTTACGACGATAAGCGGGTGTAAGCGTAGCACAACTCTAAGGACTACATGAAAAATTTTGCTAATAGTTTGACCGGACTGCTTAATATCATGTTTAACAACTGCGTTTTTTTTATGATAGCTTAACACACTCAAGAATATGGTCACTTGCTCACTTATCAGCACATTTCGACTACTCTCTAGTTTACCAACATGCTCCAAGAGATAGCATAATCGACCGAATGCATTTCCATCCATACGTAGTTGTTGGACACATACTCTGTCACTAATGCTTATAAGCTCCTGCATATGTTGTAGCTGCCTAGGTAGTCGATCGAACATTTTGAAGAATCCCGTCCATTTTGCTCTCGAATTCTAAGACGACGTTTTTTTGCCTCACAATTTCAGGTACAAAATGGCAATAAAAAACATAATGGTCAATGTATTCATTACATCCTCAACGATCAAAAGAACTTCGACTTCATCCATTTCAATGTCCATGGCTACAACAATTAATAAATATTCATCGTTAAATGATATTGTTTTCAAGAACCGCATTATATGTATTTCAGAAAAAATGGACAGCAATGCAAAAAAATCAATGTTCGAAGTTCACGGTAATGATATTGCACCCACAGCTATACAATTTAGAACGACAAATACACCCCAAAAAAATAAATATAGCCCACAGTTA